AGAAAAAGAGACCAAACAGATATTTGCTCATTAGCTTGCGACTATCTTAATTAAATTCGGCGGTTATTTCTGTTGCTGTGTGTTGCTTGGCAACAGGGAAAGACAAACACGTTAGAATAAAGCAATTTATGGTTCATTTGTGGCTACAGGAGTCCTCAACAACTGAGAATATCTTCCCGACTTTCATATACACCATTCAAACGCTGATAGAAAGGGGGGAGAAGGGGCCCGCGCAATTCACACAGGTGTATACAGGTGTGTGGGGACTTTTTTGTGTGACGGACCAAGACTTCACTACTTTGACTTCCGTCAGCTGAAATACGAATTTAATTATAAAATCTGTATTCTAAAATTCGGTTTACTAGGTAACTCGTTTATATTTGTGCTTTAAGTCAAGATTTAGATTCTGATATTTTTATGTTTATGTTGTTATATTTGAGTTATGAGTTAACGTTGACGAAAGTGTTGCTTTATGTACTACTTCCGCTACGTCACACAATTTAAAATTGGTTTGGTTTCCACCTGGTTTCCACCATAGACTGTATATATACATTTTTTGCATTTACAATTCATGGTTTACACAATAAAATAAAATCATAGAATCATACATAATCTGTTATTATTATTATTATAAAATCATTTCACCAAGAACCCGTTTGTATAAATTAATCACACAATTCAATCTCATATACATATCAAATAGTACAATTTAATAAGACTACAATTGTTTTCACAGGGACCTTTATCTAAGCATAGCAAGGGAACTTTTTGTGAGATAACGGACCATTTTAAATATTAAATAATGTTTTTTGTGTGTACTCCTTTTGACTCTGTTACCTGCATGGGCGTGGCTTCAGAGTCAATAAATTCTGCCAGCTCACCTGTGTCAGCATAACAATGTGCTGTCTGCAGCATGTGGATGCCTCATCACCTCAATAGTTTGAAAAGTTTCCTTTTGTTTAAAATATGTTGGTAGCCTTTGAATAGTTTAGGTTTATTCAGTATTTATTTAGTAGCAATGTTGGTGTAGGAATATCATTTACTAAATAATGTTTAATGATAATAAGCCTTTATTAGATCTGATTTTGGTTTAGAAATGATGATAAATAGATGATTCCTTTGTTACCCATTTTTTTCCTTTGTTACCAGATAAACCAGTTCAAACTATTGCAAGTAAAAGATTGGACTGGAACTCCTCTGTACTTATTTTATCTAGTCGACAAACCATTGAGTTGGATTGAGTCCTTGAACTATTGTACCCTGAGAGAGTTATAGTAATCCTTACAAACAAATTCTCTTGGGGCGTCAGATAGCCTAGCGGTTATGTCACACACGCCCCATGTACAGAGGCTATAGTCCTTGTTGAAGCAGCTGTGGGTTCAAAACCAAACTTGACCCTTTACTTCATGTCATATGCTGCTCTCTCCTCTCAACTTGTCCTCTCTCTTTTCAGCTGCCCTATCTAGTAAAGGCAACAAGGGCCCAAAAAATCTTCAGTATTAGATTAAATTCACAAAGTGTGAATGTTATGAGTACGATTCAGATTTCAGTAATAATTTGGGGCATTTATCATTACATTGAGGTTGATTAACAATGTATTTATTTTTTAGATACACATTTAAACGTTTTTTTTTTTTGAGAAACCACAATCTAGACTTTTATATGAAAGGACTTTAATTGTCCCATAAAAGTCTCAAGATGTAGTCTTGTTATTTTCTTCCTGAGTTTTTTGTTCTGGTTATCTATTGTGCAATGTATATTTAAAGACAACAAAATAAGGCTGACATAACAGCAATACACGTTTTGTTGAATGTATATATTTTATTCATAGTAGGAACTCTGTACTCATAAATATTCAGAATAAAAATTATCTGACAGCTAATTCCAAGAAAAATTCATCTATCAGAAAATTAATCTGACAGCAAAACTTCCATAAAATTTATTTTCTTTTTGCCAAAAGAATTATACATTTTCAAAATAAATTTCAGTTTGAAAACATAGAAACAATGTTAATATAATTCACCTATGCATGCTCTGTTCACTGCTTTACCTCTTTGGTCTCTACCACTTTCTAGTGTTTGTGGTTCGGTTGATCAAGTGATTAAGATAATACATTTCATTTTCATGAACACCTTTTCTAGTTGTTAGGCCACTCTGACCAAATGTATTGCTAGACTTTGACCAGGAGATGGCGCCTTTTGCTTAGCCCTCTTGCACATAGGACGGGTGAAGCTGATGTGAATGAATAGAGAAAGCAATGGGCTGTCTTCTTGTAGTGTTCTCATAATGTGAGGATATGTAACGTGGACTTCAGGGTTCACGTTTCAAGGAAATCCGCTGACACAGAATCTAACAAACATTTACCTCCATTTGTAGTGGGTTATAGCTAAAGGAGGCGATGAAGAATGTTTGGATGTATTATGGTAGGCCTACTTCAGGTCCAGCATTATGATGGACTTTCAAGCAAAGCACAGTTGGCACAGATTTCACCCAATGACCTCTGCAATGTGACTGGAAGATCTGTGTCTTATTTCCCTGCGGCCATCACACTTAATACAAAAGGCTGCAGTTTTTGCCGACAGTCTGCAGTAGATGGATAGATGGATAGATGGATAGATGGATAGATGGATAGATGGATAGATGAATAGATGGAGAGATGAAGAGATGGACAGAGGGACATATTCCTGAACTTTGGACTGAATAAAACAAAATATATCTCAGCTGTTAACCAAAATTTTCCTCAAGTAGGCATTTTATATTTTTATCATTCCTAACTTGTCACCTATTTTTTCTATATTTTTGCATCTTGTACAATGTTTCCAAAATAGGATTAAACTGAAAATTGTACTAAATGAAACTCTAAAAAGACCACAGCCAAGTTTCTATTTAATTAAATTATATGTAAACTAACTATAAAAATGTCAAGGCATAATTTGCTCTTGCTGACACCTCACAAAATTATATTTAGGTAACCAGAAGGCCAATTGACATAATTTGCATTCTTTTTTTGGCACTTTTTTTTTTTACATTACCCTCAGTGCTGTTATTCCCACACATTTTTGAGCAAATTAATCTCTACATCTCTATCTTGGCTGCTTCAAAGTCCCTCCATTTGCCTTTCTCAGCAGGACGATGGGTTTGCTGAGTCACTGAGGCTGGCAGGACAACACCCACTCAGACAAGCACATGCACACGCCAGTTCAAGTACCATCATTGGTTTATGTTCAATTTGTTTTATTATGGCTATGAATACTTTTTTTTCACATTCTAAGAATATTTGAGTTGTTCATATTTCACCATGTTACCTTCCTTTCTTGTAAAATCCATCCCAATATATCATAAAAAGTAGGCATGCACTTCACAATGTGTATATGTTTAAAAATATAGCCTAAATATGAATATGCATACACTAATGTATGTCTATATGTTTTGAGTTGTTTTATCACTTGTTTCTGAGGGCAGTGCAGCCTCTAACAAGACTGAGCACAGTGGTCCGTTGCTCTGCTTGCCTGGCTGTGTTCACTCTGCCATAATATATATCCATATTCATTAGCCAGAGATTCAGTGCTCTGCAGACCAAACACTGCAAGCTACTTGTCTTCATACTGAGCCAATTTGGTTGTTTGTTAATTTGTTTGCATAACTTAAGTGTGCCAAAATTCAGAGTCAGGCCAAGGCACATTCTGTGAATGCTCATGGGAATACATTACTGTAATTTTAAATGTGTGGGTGTTGTTGTTTATTAAGTGTTGTTCTTAGATTGGTCTAGCCTACTGTTGGAAACAGTAAAATGTCAGTGAGGAGTCGGAGAATCTGTGCTGTCTGTAGCACATAAAAGGACACACCCACTCACATACACCTTGACCCTACCCTTTGCACCCCATTGTTTTCCCTCCTGCTAAGCATATAAGGCTGTTGCCATAGAGACTGTTCCCCAAATAGCTGTAACCATAGGAACAACTCTTGTCTGTCTCCTGGAGAGAATAAAATAAAGAATCGGATGCAGCATGTTTGCGAGAAAAAACATGAACTATTGAACTTCTCTCATTGCTAACTCCCTTCTTTTGATGCCTGATGGAGAGAGAGCAAGACTCCATTAAATTTAAATATTTCAAGAGCAGCATCAGCTCATACAACAAAACACAGGCAGACACAAACCCATCTTTTAAGCTGTGAATACAGTTTTTTTTTTATTTCAGACAAACAACACAACAAAATAGGAAACCTGTCCTAGTTCCTAGAGCTCTAACTGACCCAAAATATTTAGCTGGCTGCCAGAGTAGTTGAATGGATAAAGGTATTGATTATCAGTGTTGCACTATATCTGGGCCAGTATGAATGATGTGGCTCTCTTGTGATCTTTTTCCTCCACCCACCCACTGGGATACAAATGATATGCCTAGCCACTCAGTTAAATTATATTATGTCTGAAAGCTTCCTCTCACTAGGGACTGTTTTGACCATCTGTCACCATGGCTTTCAACAAGGAGAAATTAGACCTCTGATCTTGGAAGGACTTTCTGTCCAAGTCAATCATCTGAGTGTGACTTTTTCTGAGATATAGTGATGTGTTCTTGTGTAATAGAGGAGTGCAGTCTGAAGATAACTGGTAAATCGGTGTAAAGAGATTAACTCTTTCTCCAGATTAATTTTTTCTCTGCACCAACCCTTTCCCCGTCCTCTTGAGATAAAAGTGTCCTCTGTAAATGAGTGCAGATTTATAATCAAGGCTGTCATTACTATGGTTATTGTTATTAAAATTAATGTTATTCATTACAGTATTTGAAAATTATGGACAAACAGTGACTTCAAAAATTGTCATACAAACCTTATAAAGCAAAGACTATATAAATTCAATCATATTTTTTATTTTCACTTATCTTGAGCACACACACACACACACACACACACACACACACACACACACACACACACACACACACACACACACACACACACACACACACACACACACACACACACACGACAATAAATTCACATTTATTTTTAAGAAAGAAAACTTTATTAGTGATTTATAAACAAAACACATTACCACTGTATCCATTTAGGTAAAATTAAAAAAGTCAGAAAATAAATGAAATAAATGAAATTTACTACTTCACTGTCACGGTTGATGAGCGGGTGTACAAAAAAAGGGTTTTACAACAGGTCTTGGGCTAGTCCATTTTGGACAGCACACTTCCACCATAGTTCACCACCATACATTGGGTAAGAATGACAGCATGAACGCTCACTAAACACAAGCATACAATACATATACATTTTTTTTTACACTGGAATTTTTTTTTTTGTAATTTTCATTTTTTTCTGGAGTGAAAGGGAAGTGAAAGCTCATCATAGGATCATACATATTTCAGTTACAATATTACAGTGTTAGTTAGATCATCATGTCAAAGCCGGACACAGAGTGTTTTTTTTTTTTTTTTTGCCTTTTTTCTTGCTTTGCTTGTTCTCAAAAGCAAAAATCAAAGTTGATAAAAGAAAAATAATGAACTTGCGTTGAAAGGTATCACACTATAGCATTTACAAATATCTAAAGAGGTTTAGTGGATGCCATACAACATCTGTGGAGCGTGAAGATTGTAGTACATAGATGTTTGGCAGACAGAAGTACATAGAAATATCTCCTGTGCAAGTAATGAAGAAAAATGATGATACAAAATAATAAAATCATAGCCATCTATCTATTTATATATATATTTCTCTATATAGTATGTGTTTCCTTAGAGCAGTACATGCAGCAGCCACTTAATGGAGTGACGTCATACAGAGCCGCAAAACTTTGGGGACGTGGCAACAAGTTACAGGCAAGGGAGTGAAACCAACAGAAGCAGGTCTTGAAGAACAAGTGCACCTCCTTTTTCAATATCTCCTGAGAGAGGATTGGTGGGATACAGCTGAGGGATAGAGATCCCTGTAGATGCCTGTATTTTTAGCAGTTTTCAATAACTAATGTAGAGACAATCTATGACAATTCTACGCTACATTTACAGCGTACATAAAAGCTAATATATGACTCAACGAACCTAAACAATCAATTTGGAGAACAACCTTCTTCTCTTGTACATGGAGGCAGAGGGCCAGCCCACGGCACCTATTACCTCACTTTCTCCTCGTCCTCCACCCCTATAATCAGCCTCATCCCACCTGGTCCCCTCTCGTCTGTGGTTACAAACAGGAAATGAACAGCGTACTTGCAAGTTAAAAGCACTGAACCTTTGTGCACATAGAGAGACATCTGACAAGTGTTCAGGGCATAGACCCCCCCTCCCCCCTCCCCCCCTGAGTGGGCTTCCCCTGGCCTCATCCACATTACTCCATGCTGTTCTCAGCACACCACAATGTTCAGAGCAGCAGGGTCTGCAGGGGGTCTGTGCGAGGGTTAGGTGTAGCACAAATGGGAGTGGTAATGACAAGCAAAACGCAGTTAAAGCTATGAGGAAGAAAATAAAAAAGCCAGAGTATGCGATAGTGAATCTCTTTAGAGAAAAAAGATCAAGTCCACAAACTTCATCATCACATGAAGAGGCAGACAGTGGGATGGGTGACAGTAGGGGAAAAGGCAGTTGGGGGAGGGGAGGATGGCTTGTGGCAGCTTAGGGCAGGTACAAGGAGGCGAGCAATTGTAAACTCAAAGTTGTTGGGTAAGGATTGGTTGCTACCAAACATTCAAAGCAGAAAGCATCAGGCTTTTGCTGCAGCAGAGGGAGAAGTGGTGTTAACAAGATCTCAAGCCTAATATTATTTAAGGTTTGACCAGAGTCCGCTGCCTGAAAGCGAAGTCTCAAGCCAGCTGAGCTGGACTCTCCCCTCTGTGATCCTCAGAAGAGTGTGAGGTATCCTCTCATCTCTCCATCTTTTTTGTGCTCTCTGCATTCCTCAGTCGGGCTTCTGGCTTGAGATGAAGCGCTCTGTGTCCTTCCAAAGCAGTGAGCAGACACAGAGTGATTACAAAGGATGCTGCTTGCATCCTGAGAGAGTTGTTGTACACATGCGCATCACGTTGGAAACTGTGCAGGGCAAAAAGCTCGCAGTGTCAAGATTGAAAGAAGATGTGAGTTGATTTTCCTCATTTTTTATTTCTCTCCGTCTCTCAAAGTCCCCAAGTGCTTTCCATGTCTACTTTGTCATGGGAAGTGTGTATGCATGTTTGAATGTGTGAGCATGCATGTGTGTGCATGTGGTTTCATTGAGATCTCAGGAAACACTGTTGGTTAATACCATAGGACTCTGCAGCAGTGTCATGTAAGCCTTAGTTTCAGTGACTCTCCTGTGCTATTTACAAGTAGTGTGTGTCCAGCTCCAGATGACTAACATCTGTCCCAATCTTCTTTGTCGTTCTTCTTTTCCTTAGCTGGCACAGAGCTTTTTGTTGTTCTTGTACAAAGTATTTGTCTTCTCTCAGAGAGAATGGTTTACACATCATAGTTGGGGAGGGGTTAAGACAGAGGTGCCAACATGTCCAGTGGGTAAAGGGAGAAAAAATCAAGATGGGGGCAAAGAGTCGCCCTTTCTTGTTAAAAAAATGACTGACATGAGTTGACTCTGGGTGTTTAGGCACATAGGGGCATGGAGTAATAATCAATATTTTGTATCGTTTATCAAGGCAAGGTTATTAATTAACCTTAGTAGGGACTGAAGTTGAGATAAATCTTGGTAAGGCCAGTTTTATAACATATAGAACTTTAGAATATCTTCAGCGTAAATAGGTGATACATGAAATTTGTTATCTACGTATAATAGTATCCACATTTTCTTCTTGCCCAGTGGACTTTGGTTGGTACCTCTGTTTTAACAACGCCCTTTACTTCTTTGCTATATCCTTCTGCTCCTCTACTCATCTCCATCATCCTTCCCCTTATCCTTCTTGTCTTTCTTCTCCTTCTTCTTCTTCTTCTTTTTCTTGGCCTCCTCCTTCTTTCCGAAGGTGATGAAATCGCTCTTGTCGTCCTCTCCGCCCTGGTTCTGTCTGATGGATATTATAGCAGGGGAGCCAGGAATGATGAAGGCTTCTGGGGGAACCTCACCAGGTTTCAGGTGCTGCGGGGGTGCTCCAGGACCACCTGGGCCATAGCGAAAGTGCCAGCTGTTACTGTCTACGCCAGCACCCATTGGAGGGGACACCTCTCCCCCTTCAGGATCTGAGGAAACATAAAAAGACACGTGATGGGTTAATATTTGCTTCAAACAGAAATGTTTTCTTCCTCATTGACAACATCAAGTTTGAAGTCATTATACAGTACTCCAGGCACTAAAATGTTATTATCAAATTGAAATTTCTTGAGATTCTGGTATTTTGCATCTTATCTATGGTTGTACCCCTCAATACATATTATGAATGCTGTGTCACCAAACTAGCTTAAAAGCAAAACTTCCCAGTATCTGAGGTACAGAGTATGGTCTGTGTCCATGCATGCAAAATTAAGGAGTACAGTTCATAAAAATAGGAGATATCATTCATAAGAGAGGTTAATATTTATGAGGAAATGTATCAGTCTCTGAAGAGAAGGTGTTAATATGAGCAGGTAGGTACTGTAAAGTGGGGATTTTAAACTAATTGGCAAAAAAAAGGTTTATAATAGATCTGTGAACATATTATTATCTGACATTCTTTCAAAAAAACATATTTATTGGTTACACATTAAGCATAGATTTCTAATGAATACAGAGTGGCTTATTTAAAGCTGAGCTTTGCTGATCTGAGTACACCAATTGCGAGGATGATCTTTCATTTTGCATTTCATTGGATTTTTCATTTAATGAGTCCTTCAACATCAGTGTCACATAACTTTCTTAGAATGTTTGTCTAATATTTAAATTTAACCCCTTCTCTAAACTGCACTTATTGATTTACAGAGCATGCATGATGAGGCAGTATCAGTGAATGAGCGTAAAGTTAGCCGCTGCAAAGCAAAGGCACTGTGCAAATCAGCCCTTCACTTTCATCTCAATAAATGGTGCTCACTCTGTAAAAAACCTCAGACTACAAGGAAAGATCATTCATGTCCACAGCAGACACTGTAAAATAAAATTGGTCAATAATGAGTGGCATGACCATAAGGAACAGCCATGACATGCTATAACAGGGCGGAGGTGGAACTAAATGGGAGGTCTCTAATTGGGCAATGAATCAAGGCTCCCTCTATGCCAAAGCTAACATGCTTAGCACTGTGTTAGAAAACATTATGCCCTTTATCATAATCTTAAAGGCAGAGAAAGGTAATAACGTAAAGCTGTAAAGTTTTAGCAAACCCTTTTTATTACATTTGAGTTTTATCAGATACCGTTCTTTAAATCATACACAGGAAGACCTAGTGTGTTAAACTGATTTGTGTTTCAGTGTTCAACGAGTGGAATCATTACACTAATGTGTATCGTGAATACACTAAAACTTGTTCAAAAAAAGGACACTGGATATAACAGAGGACACAAATAAAAATAAAGTGAATCATTCAGTAAATTACGTTATTGTATGCTAGTGTGTTTATGTTAACAATGTCTGTGTGAAGGGTATAACAAAACTAAGCACAGTCTACCAGCAGTGACCTACTTGCCACAACTTGCCTCACGTGGTCCTTTTATTTCTTTTACTCCTTTCCTGAGCTCTTTCTAAAGGGGATATTGAACTGAGCATGCCATCCAACCAGAAGGAACAGTGTCTGGAAGATAAGCCTGACCTCATGCATACTCAGAGTACAGAATAGCAACCTATAATCTTATTTTACCTCATCAGACTCCAAATATATGCTCTTTGATCAGAAAGTTAACTATCATCATGATTAGAAGTGGCACATAGAAGATGAAAATAAAAAAGGACTTTGTATTGACAAGGGTTTGCCAATGTTAATTGGAAATATGATGAAATGGGTGACGCATTAATCATCATATTGCATCATTGAGACATAAAATAAGTCTCATATGATGTTAATGCATTTATTACTTATGCAGAATGAGGAATAATAAATACTAACGCAGTCACAAGTCACTAAAATCAATACGGTTTGATTTTGAATTGATGAGTTTATAATGTACCTATTTCATATATCATCCCTCTTTAGTTTTAATTTCTGCTGGGATTTACATTTTGCTAACTCTTCTTCATTCATACATTTCTTATATTTTTCCATTTTTAATTATCAGCACTCAGTGACAACTGCTCACAGACAAGACATTCAGTAAATCCATGGCAAACATGATGTCTCCTGCTGGGCATACAATCCAGATCAGTCTTAGAGGAAAAGAGCTGCTGTTAATCTTCTCCCTCTGCAGGGAAACTATCCAAATTGACGCAGACAATGGCATTGCATTTTTTTTTCTTGGGAAGTTAAAGATTGCAGGACTTCCAGGTTGAAATTTGTATTTTTCTAGCTATAACAACGCAAACTGAACAACGTTGACATGTCCACTGTTTTGGGCTCAAATGAACAAGATATTTGATAATTCTTCCTTGAATTTACATTATGATGACATTATTATCATTATTATTATTTTGAGATAATAACTGCTACATTGAGAAAAGGCAGGTCAGGTTTTTCAATAAGAACATAATTCTGCATTACTGCACTTGTCAGAATTGTCATTTTCAATATCACTTAAATTCCCTCAAATATATTTATGTAATCATGTTGGGACTGTCACACAAGAATTAAGTGGGTCATGCATTTGAATTGTTTCACATCACTATTTTCCCAAAAGCTCTCCTACTTTCAGCGACTTTGACAACAAAGCTGCAAGAGCCACCGAGAGGAGACAGAAGTTGACAAAGAGACTGAGGAGATTAGGACGAGACGGACAGGACTGGACTAGATCCAGTCACTGCTTCCTCCACACGGTGACACAGAGACAGCCAGAGTCACAGTCTTTTAGGAGGCGAGAGTCTTCCCCAAACTGATAAGTCCTCTTCTGACTCCCTGAGCATAAACATGACCCCTTTCCTGTAAACTCAAAAAGACGGCAAAAAAGGAGGACAATGGTGCAAAAAATACTGATGAAAAAACTGGTGCAATACTGGCATTCATGCTTTAAGGTGTCCAACCTCCTGCCTCTAAGAAATTACCTATCTAACTCAATGTGAAAACTTGATGAGACACCAGTGCCCCCATGGAAACTCACAGACATAAACAAAACAAAACAACACCCTCAGGAGCGATGAGTCATGCCAAGAGCAGAATAACAGATCGGGGTAAGTCAGGGCAGTGTAAATCTCTCGAAAGGGTCAATGTATCTGTCTGTATTTAAATGAAAAGACAAAACAAATCATAAAACACTCTGCAGTCCCGCAGCTGCAACACAAAAGGTCACATCATAGTTCTCACTGCTGTGAGGGACTCTTTTGTTATAATCTAAAATACATTTATCATGATATTACAAAAGTAACTGTGTGGTATTTGACATTTGATAGCAGCTCCCTCTCTATTTAACCACTTTCATGTTTCCTCACGCTGCATGACTTTTCACACTTGTTCTTTGTCTCTTCATTCATGATAAGAATACCAGACCCGCCATTACTTCCATCTAATTTGTTAATGTCTGTTGTAGAACAAAACTACATCTCTCCTCACCTCTCCAACCTGCCTCTATCTATTCCCTGCCAACCTCTCTCTCTGTCTCTTTCTCTCTCTCTATTGCTCATTTCCCCTGACCTTTAAACTAATCATGCGTGAAACTCAGCCAGCAAACACCCATCCCTCCCAGTTATTGACAAAAGTCTTAATCATGCCTATCAGTGTTTATGCTAACATTAATGTGATTGGGTGTTAAACAGCTTGTCCATCACTGATAACTACCAGGCACATTAGCACTGAATGTGGTTTATTTGTTGCCTCCAACTCCAACACTCTCTCTATGTATCTGTGACTTACACAATTTGAAACCCTCTCTCTTTGAAATGCTAGAGTGACACAAGTCCTTTTAATTCATTATTTTGTATAACAGATTGTGATTTCCTACATATCTCCCTCCGAGTTTTTAATCTTGGGAGTCTTCAGCACTGCATCTCTGTGTGTGACTGTCCCTTTGCTCCCCTGTTCCGCCCGAGGTTTTCACAGCCGCTTAAAATCACCAAAGCTCCATTTTGCCACGTCTACTTTATTCATCCCCTTGTCTCGCCCTACCGTCGGCCAGTTGGGCAGAAGCGCAGTAGAGCGCAGTGCAGCGTTACATAAGGAGCTGAGGGGGAGGAGGAAGAGGAGGAGGAGAGGGGCCAGGAAGTACAAGGATGCAGATATGAAACATAATGCTCAGCACCAAAAATGAAGGTGGGGAGAAGGAAAAAAACGGGATACATAAATCTAAAGGTGCAACTATTGTTTCTCACCCATTCTATGCTGTGGAGAAATATGTGATTGTTTTCAATGTCAGCTCGACCACACCTTTTTTCAGATAAACCCTGTTTTGTTTGTGTTATGTGAAGCATGTGCTTATTTTGATGAAAAACTAAAGAGCAAAATAATATTTTACTGTGTATTTTCAAAACCAATTTTTCAGTACTGTAACAGTTTCACTGATGACTCTGTAGGTGAAAGTTTTTATGCCTGCATAACTTACTATACATTCCCCAATCTGCTAGCAATAAATGGAAGTTTGAAAAATGCATTATAATAGCTATTTGCTCCTCTTTTTGAAGTAATTATGCCCATGATATGAATACTTGAGTATAAAATTGTGTGTGTCTGTTTGTGTTTCACGCCAGGTTGAGCACCTTGCTGTCTGCTCCCAGATGAATCATGTGGCAGACGGTGGATGCAAGCATTCCCAAGTGACAGGACTCGACACACAAAAAATAAACCAATTGTAGTGTACAGTTAGAGTGGGGTTTATGTGTATTAGTGAGCATTTATGTGGAATGTGTGTATAAATGCTAGGATACAAGAAAATAGAAAAATTGATTTTATCTCAGGTGCGAAAAAGAGGCAGAGAGCAGGGGGGGAAAACAGCGACAGTAAAGGTAAAGTAAAAAACAGAGAACATGTAACAGATGGGGCAGGGGGATTCAGTGGCAGAAACAGTGACAGCTTTGAGACTGTTCTACACTGCCTTACTGAATTGTGCCAGATATGTTTTCATATCAAACACAACAACTAGAGAATGCAGCTCTGAGGTAAGACACTTGCTTTGAATTGAATCAACTGTTTTTATCTCTTCTTAAACCTATCTCTTTGTGCCTTTCTAATCCAACTCAGAGATATCCCTCAAAATGTTCTCAATAACGATAAAGATAGGTCACGTTCCTATGCTACCTAGAAGTTCATATGGCTGAGGCTGTGGTGTAGCACAGGCATTCCTCAATGAATTGCCTTGACAGGTGTGTGCTGCAGTTATCACTGTTAAATTAAATCACACCTGTCTCCCTCTGTTCCTCTGTGAACATGTTTTAGTATTTATAGGCGAGTACAAACTGCAGTGAAACAAAAAACAGTAAACCTGCATCCACCTCTGCAGTACACCAACGCCCCAGTGAATGTAGGTCATTCTCTCTCCTTTACTCACTGCTCTGCTCTCTTCTCCGCTTTACACCTTTTACCTCCAACTGTCACTTTCCTATCTCACCCCTCCCTCTTTTAACTTTGTCACTCCCCTGTGCTCGGCTTTAGCTTTGGCTTATGTATGTGCGTTTTTGTCAACACCCACTTTTGTCTTGTCCTTCACCTGATGCCAGAACCCCCAACCCCCCCCCCCCCCACCACCACCACCCCACCCCACCCACCCCCCTCCACCTCTTTCAGCACCTTTTGTCTCCCACCATATGTTTGCACTCCCTGCTAAATAACAGCAACACCTCCCTCCCTCTATCTCCTGCCAATATTAGGGGCCATGAATGGTTGCCATGGAAACTACATCCTCCAGTGAGGCAATAGGACATTGGTAGGAGTCATGGTGACAGTGCTTGTGCTGATGGAGAATAATGCTGCAAGCTCTCTCTCTCTCTCTCTCTCTCTCCCCCTCTCCCTTTCTGTCTGGTCCAACCACTCTCCCCTAGCAACAGCCGCCTCATACAGCTTCCTCTCTCTTCCATTTACAGAGCTTTCGCTACAATCAATCATGTGTACTCCCCACCCAAACAGTTTATGTCCCCCCCGCTTCTGTACCTTACAAACCACCTGATCCTTTTTTGCTTATTCTTGTTTCCTTTCAAAGCCTTGCTTTGAATTTTGATGCAATTCTGCAAAGTTTTCTCTGAACCTGTGTGCCCTTGGTTTCAAGAAAAAGCTGTGAAATAGGGGGAGAAACAGAGAAGGAAGACAAAGATGGAGTGGGAAAAAAGAGAGGGAGAGAGAGTTGGACCGCAAGCGGAAACCCTGATTTCATTAATGTGGGTCTGTTAATCTGGGCGTGGGCTGCGCTCCATCTGTCACAGCAGGAGTGGCACACAAATGTGAACAGCCAAAACATGCTCATGGCGACACAGCCAAGAGCATAGACAGAGGAACATACACATAAAGAACCCCGCAAAAATAAGATTCAACAACACAGAGACACAAATCCAAATGTTTGCAAAAATCAGAGAGGAAGAAACAGGGGCCTTGTTGATTTACCTCTGAGTCTTCCATCGAAGCAAAAATAGACTGTGAGGCACAACAGCACCCTGTAGGTTAAACAACAAACCAAACTCCCATATACTTCTGCTCCTCACCTCAGGACCACAGCCTGCCTAACCAACAGGATGATTTAGATATAAATAGCACAGACTATGAGTCATAGTGATGTGACAGGCCACATTGAATCAATATCTCCATATCTCTTTTTTTATGTGGCAAAATAAAGAGAACCAACATGAAAGTCAGAACATAAATCTCTCTAAATCTTGTTCACCAGACAAGGCTTAGATGTTAACGCTTGATGTGTTATCTAACATAAACCTGAAATTATCCAAAACAAACCCTAAAACCTGAAACTTCTTTAGCCCTCAGCTAATATTTCTATTATTATGACTAACAATGAGATAAAGAAAGGACAGTTAGCCCTGGGGTGAAGCAAGATTAGCGTGCACACAATGTGTTAGGCTTTATTAGACCACCTTATATCCTCACCAGCTGAGCTTGTTGCCACAGACCCACCCTAAAGACGTCACCATTGCCTGTTTTGCTCTTTCTCACTCTATCTATCTTCCTATCGCTCATGTTTTGAAGTGCCTCCAGGCTGTAAGTCCTCAGCCAAGGCAAGAAATCAATGGCAGAGCGGAGGAGGCTGTGTGTGCGCGTGTGGATAGGAAGGGACAGTAGTTAGTGTGTGGGCAATTTGTCTGCCTGCCCAGCCCGCCACCTCCTGTCTATAAAAGACTGACTAGTCTTTATGTTCTCTATTCTCATTTTAACTTAATTTTTCAAAAAAATAAACAACATCTTTATCGAAACTTAGTTGTGTCATCCTTGCTCAAGTCCTGTCATTGTACATATATTTGTCTAGATATCACACTTGCTTCCTCCTGCATTGTCCTCTATAAGGCAACTCTTTCCTCCAGTTCAACATTAGTCCATGCTAACCTCACTCCCCTGTCATCACAAAAAGCTGACAGCTGAATCCTCAATATAGCACTGAGGGTGCTGACATCTTATCTCATATGAAGTACATCTTTGGTCATAAATCTTGAGAAGGGGCAGGATATATAACACTGTATTCATTGAAATTGAATTTACAATGTCCATGAGATTTCATCTAGAATTGAGTAAGCTTTTGTTTGCAGTTTGTTGTGCTTCAAAGTGAAAGTTTTTACAGCACTGTTTTCTAAAAGCTTCAGTGCAGTGCCTGGCATTGGATGTAGTTGGCCAGGTAGATGTAGAATTATGTGTTTTTCTCTTCTGTTAATAACATTTTAGCCACGAGTGCAGAAGTGTAAACCTTTTCTGTCATCAAAAGTTACATAGCAAAATAAGAATAAATCACCATCTTCATGTGCTAGGTGCAAACTCCCCATATCAGTCTTTTCAACCCTTGAAATATTTCTGTTAACCTCAAAGATATAATTCTCCAAAAGTTGTAAAACGTTAAATTTACAGTAGACTGAATGGTTATCAAGCAACAGACTAAGATCATGCCTGTCCCAGCTTACAGCTGATTCACAGCAGCACTGCCAATAAGTACTGTTTTCTTTTGAACACTTGGCATTAGATTCAAATTTGCAATTTAATGAAACTGAAATGCCTGCTGTCTTAAATTCTCCTACATAGGAGCAGTAATAAATTATATTATCATGAAATTCTTAGTATGTAGAAAATATGTCATTCACAGAAACATTAGCTTAAATGTCAATACATAGAATATTTGGTAACTTAATAAATGGCATATAACAATATCGAACATGTCTTTTTTTGTTGCCAACATCACACATTCAAAGTTCTTCTTGTGTATACATTAAAAGAGCTGAGAGAGTGTGAGTGAGAGAGCCACAAAAGGGTGAGTAATTATTCTTATTTCTAATTTATTCTCTTGTTTGTCCTCTGTGGCCCAGTGGCTTATGCTTCTGTAAACACTTTGCTGATAATCCAATCGACTTTTAACTCACTCTCTTTACCCTTTTTTCCTCTGTATTGTCTCTCTTCTTGTTGCAGCGAGCAGAGATATCCATCTACGCCTACGTAGCCTGTGTCATTTCCGCTCCCTGCGGCAGTGGGAAGTGTTTGGAGTGGGCCGGGGCGATCTCGTATCTGATACCTCGGTTCTCCTCCTTTTATTATTCTTGAGTGTTTTGGTAAGTTTTTGAGGAATGTACAGTTCTTACTAAAATAAAGTATAAGCCTATGTTGTGTGCATCTGTGTCATACAGTATGTGTTGCACTGAGGTACATTAACTGTATGTACTTGTCACAATTTTGGAGCTTTAGGCTTGGTCCATGTGTGCTGAGCAGACCTCTTACTTTATTTTATGTTTCCATTCTACTTTGACTGGTTTAGGTGAGAGTAACTTGACCGATTCTTACCAGCGGCACTGGATGCAGTTGGCCAGTTCTGAACCAGGACCCCTTGGGCTCCTTGCATCACTGAAGACTCCTCCATATGCACCGAACTGGAACAGAAAACACAAATATGCACATATAACATGCTGCAAATGTATGCCTTCCAATTTTAAATACTAAACCATACATGGGAATCTACATGGGAAACTGAATGTTGTGATTATTTCATGGACAAATACAGATGCACAACATATGTACCTTTCTCATCTCTTTATGGTTCCTCTAAAGCACAATATTTTAAATTAAATCGTATGCACTCTGTGTGTGGGGACATGTTTGGGATACAGCAACCACACTCTCCGAAATGCAACATTGAGATTAGGATTAAAGCATTCACCCTACATTTTCCTCACATTCTCTGGATTATGGATTACAGATGGCTGTTCCTACATTTTCACACTCGCTCTGTGAGATTTCAGCACCCTCCCCTTGACTGAAAAAACGACGCACTCTCAGAACAGAAACAGGAATACTGCAACAAACAACACTCACTGCCAGTACTATATCTCAAAAAGGGAAGGAAGATGTTTTCTAGCTCTGACACTGTTTATTATTATTATTATTATTTTATTATTATTATTTATTTTAGTCAACATATTAGTGCATCTTTGCAAAGGTCCATTTGTCTCTTACAGTGAAAAACAGAAGGGAATCATCTCTCTTGAAGGGTCAGTTCATTCAAGTAACACAAACACTCTACAGCCTGGTTTACAATAACAGGATATCTAACCGTACATACACCAATATCTTTCTTTGAAATGGCTACTCCAGCAATTTAATAGTAACCTCTTTGATGATACATCTCAGAAGCAGATTTTTGTTGTTTTTAGCCCTAATTAATCTCTTAGGGGAAATTCAGGTTTCCACAATTTTATTGAGAGACATGCTATTCACACACATACGCCCTAAGATACAAACATGCACCAACAGCATCTTGGGACATGCACTGCCCTGAGCAATTTGGTGGTTTGGTGCCAAGGGCACCTTGGCAGTACTCAGGAAGTGAACTGGCACCTATCCAGCAATAAGAATGATTTAGATACTTTGATTCTCACAAGGACCTGAGATGGCGACCCTCTTGTTTTCAACCCAAGTCTGTACGCATTGAGCTGCTACAGACTGAGGAATGTAGTTAAAGACTGTATTCCTTATCTTGCCCAAAATTAAAGAGTTAATTATGATACAGAACTTAAACTTTAAGAACTTATTATTCTAAAAGTACCACTTAATAATATCTCCCTACTGTTTGCTCCTAATGTATTCACCCGTAATATTTCCTTAGAGTCTCTGAGTGTAAAACCAAGTCTCTCTGCTCTTCTGAGGCATTGTCTTACTTTTTGAAAACCCAAAGCTTTCCGTCTTTATTTGAGATCTGTATTACATTAACTATGAGCCCAGTTAAAATATGGCTGAATTTAGATTCATGTATAAAGCTGTTCTGCAAGGATAACAAAAAAGATGGAGGTGGAGACCATTTTAAGTGCTGCTAAGCAACAGCATCATCAAGGCACTCTAATAAAATATTAATGGCAACACTGGTGATGATGATACACTTCTCAGCTAATGTCAGCCCTCGTTCTCATTGCTCATCATCTCATTCTTTCCTCCAGCCTCTAAGCACAGGCTTTCTCAGCTTTGAAACCTTATTGTAAGGCTACATTTGTATTCTTTTAATTCAAAACTATAATGATCAACAAATAACAGTAGAGACGAAATGTTATCTATCAAAATGTGACATTAAATAGGTCATGGTTTGCATCCAAAATCTCTTATGAAAGCTGTGATTATAGATGCACAATTAGTGGAGCTTGGTAATGGGACATGGGGGATTGTCAACTTAAAGCACATCAGAGGTAGTGAGTCACTTGACATATTTGGCATATTGGACTGGTTAACACAAGCACATTAACTCTCATTAATCCCTGCTGTAATTATGAGGGAATTTGTGTATCATTAGCAACACTCAGATGGTGCACGGCCTTTAGTCTGATATCAACATCAAGCTGCACACATAAATACTTACAGTATACATAGTATGTTTATCTACAGTATACAGATAATGTATAATATGTAGTTTATTCATGTGTTATATATCTATCTACATAATTGAAAGGATTAAAATACTAAGGCACGGTGGATAGCAGGTAGGTAGAGAACTCATTAAGACAGTGACTTTTTGTGTAATTATGGTGCCATCTCATTAGCATGACCCTTGTTTTGGTTGGGTCCATCTGATCCCACAGCAGGTGAGAGCAGTACCTTATGGATAATGTGACCACGGGTGTGGCCACGTAGCAAACCTCACGTTCCTCATAGGCTATGTTTCCACCTGACTATCTGCCCTTCATCTTCCACTGACCCCCTCTCTGTCTGCTCCCCCCCTCCTGTCAGTCCTCCATCTGTCGATGGAAATATTGGGAGATCATACTTCATTTGTCCTTACTGTGCTGCTTCTCTCACAATTTTACTTTCAATTGTTTTAGATGTTTTAAATCAAATGTAGATAGTATTGTGTTTCATCATATACTAATGTAACTATCAATCTAATAGCAACGTACTGTACATACAATTCTAAATGTAATTGAGTAAATGTGTATTATAATTATTTAATTCCACCCTTTTTTCCCTCAGGACTGAAACTACATACGAGCAATGGCTGGCAGAAAAGAATAATTCAAACAACCTTCCTGGAAAAAGCGAGCAGGTGAACCTAAATGTCTCACCTGGCTCTCTATAACAATATGATTTGGGCTTTGAAGACATTAATAAATGTTGCCTGGCAGCCAAATCATAGAGACACTCTGTTAATCTTTCATGTTGAAATGGTTTATTCCACATCACCAAACTGCCTACCACTGTATATTCACCACCCTCTCTCCTGGGCTCTCGTGCGACTAAAATGGATTTAGTGAAATGTCAAGAGTGGATTAGACTGTGTGGTAGACCTCAATGTCAGCTCAACATCATCATCATCATCAACAACAAAAAGCTTCTTGGTAACAAGCAAGCAGACTTTTTAGTTTAAAGTTATTCTCACTTGGTCTGTACTGCAGAGTGACAGAGATTGTAGCTTTGAAATGTCAAAAGACTGACTTGCTTTCACAACCATCACTTCTGATTGTACAGTGCGTTCTTATGGTTTACATCTGAAATTGTGGATCATGCCTCAATGGAATCCTGAAGTTGAGTAGAATATTAGACGATATGTTCACCACTCCCAAAACAACTCTATACTTGTCTCTTAATAAAATGTTCGGAAGAAGTGATTAGGATCAGTGTTAGGAAAGCGGGTGGTGCTAGGTGAGTAAGAGAATGGGGCAGGATTTGGTTATTTTCCCACTCTCATCATGTGACACAATAGTGGGACAGTCTTATGTTCTTTAACAAAAACCTAATGAAAGATATGGGTGTGGTATGATGGGAAATGGAAAAAAAAAAAGGAGTTCTTACCTCTGCATTACACCGCCTGCTCTCAGGGAGGCTGAATATCTCCAGTCCCCACTCTGCACTTTGGGCTGCAAGAGAGAGTAAGAGGAGTTGAGTCTTAAGTACAGGCGAAAACCAATACCAGTTCATTAATAAGTCATGGGAAGAACTGCTAGTGCATGTGCGTCACACACACACACACACACACACACACACACACACACACACACACACACACACACACACACACACACACACACACACACACACACACACACACACACACACACACACACACACACACACACATACAGAGCCATGGTAGTGACAGCTTGCCCCTGTCTTTGCAAAGAAGAAAAAGATGAATTGTATTGTGTGGATGAACATATCTTCTTCTTCTTGGCCACTTCTTCACAAACAAAAAAAAACCACAAAAAAATATTAATCAAATGACCTTCAGAGATTTAGCAGCCCAATGACCACGGTACTGTGATATGTAGGTCCTGAGGTTACATGTCCCCGGTTTGTCCCCTAGACCAAGCTTGTTGTGCTACAGTCTACAACCATGGAAATCATGCAGAACTCTTCTGTATCTTTTGATGATGTGTTATAGAAAATTCCATTGCCTTTTGTATTTTTCCGCTATCCCCCTACGCCCTTGTTTATCCTGCTTCAGTATATAAAACCTCCTCTCCTGTGCTTTTCAGTTCCTTCATCCTTAATCTGACACATCTCACCATGGTTACTTAAGAGCCTGGTCTACATTTTAAGATTAAACCAGCGCCATCCATAATTTCTCTCCTGTGAAGGTCACAGGTGCAGGAAGGAAGGGAAAGGGTAGATAGAGGGCAGATACAGCATTAACCCCCTGAGCCCTGCATCCAGACATGGACACATCACAACAGAGGGATGAATAGGGGCATTTTAGGGACACCATTATAACCTCCACCTGTTTGTACATGTTTAAGCTATGGTAAATTATGCTTAAACACCAATATAAGGAAGAGACAATAAAAGAAAACCTGACTAAATGGGTCAGAAGACATTCATTTGTTTGCAGTTGAGATGAAACCACATAGCCGATATCATATTTTTTTTTCTATGATCTCAATATGAATGATTGACAGAAATAAAACAATCTGACCAAGAACACGATTATTTCTGCTTGGCCATGCAGTTCAGATGAGACCCATTTGCAACCCCATTTCCTTTCAGATATGACAGATGTTCACTTGCTGCTGAAACCGCATTGACCTCTATGAGTCTGCAGTGGACATTCATCACCCTTGAAATCCAATATTTGGTCTTAATGAGAGAAGCCTGGTATTCCTCCTGGAGCCATTCAAACACAGCAGAGTGTCTACAGGGATAGAAAGCACTGCAACACTGAAGACACTTATCCATACTAGAAACTCAGGGTACGCCTGATTATTTGAGGAAAATCACTCATCAAAAGGCAATCAGTGCCTGGATTCACAAGTAAAATTCATTTTCAAAGGGTGCTTGTTGGGCATAAAAAACTCAGTTTCATAAAAAGGAGTGAGGCAAAAAACAACCAAAAGCAAAATGAGAGCAGATTGTCTACAAATGGGGCTAAACGGATTTGCTAAATGTGTGTCCTGTTGCAGCATGGCAGTGGCCAAAGGGGGAGATCTGCTTGTCCGTATGGTGTTCATGGGGGTAAATAAAAACACACACAGTTGCACAAACACACTCATGATACAAGCATCTGGAATCTGAACATGTTCACAGTCTGATACAATCTTTAGGGAAGATAGACAGTTGTAAACAAAAAGCAAAGTCAACAAAGCTCTGACTCATACTGAGGATGATAAATCGATGCAATTCATTCTATTATTTTAAATAGAGAAGAAATAGGAGCACAAAGAACAACTCCATTGGGTATTAGTGTATTCATTTCCCCCCCTCGATGTACATGTTTAATAAAGGAGTAAGGAAAGCGTTTTGTTTGGCCACTCAATCATTTTCTCGCCTTTTCTCTCCACTCTTCCCTCTCCCTCTGAGTGAACGCTCCTAGCATGGATACAGAGCTTACACCTCCGCCATCACCACTGTGTCCAATCACCTTTCATCCCCTGCCTCATCCACGCAGAGCCAGCCAATCCAAGCAAAGTGCTGAGAAACACATCGCTCCCAGTTAATTACATAGCAAGAACAAACATGACTGGCATTTAATGAGGAACTTGTCACGTGATAACAGAACAATTACCTTAAATATTTCCCTGCTCATCTTTTTTATCTCTTATATTCTCTGATATCCTTTACTGCACTGCAGAGACAGAACTAGGCAGGCTCCGGGGAAAACACTATTAGGCAGAAAACAGTTCATTTTTGTTTTATCTAAATAAAACAGTTTGAATTACTACATCCAGAGATGATGAAAACAACTGCTTATATCCATCAACCTTTTACATTGAATAATAATTCCATGAAAGTAGAAATGAAGCTCTTATCTTAATTAAACTCAGACACAGTCTCTTCCTCATGCCAGCATTTTTCGCCAATTCCCAAACTCTGGCTTACTGCTCAGTACCAGAGAGGTACGTGACCAGAACAGGGTATTTTGGTGCAGTGGGATTGGTGGCCCTCGTAGCTGGCGAAGACTGCACTATTTCCCAGACTTTACCTCTCTATAGAGATGACAAGTGAATGCCCTCTGGACTTGAAAATTGTTGCACAGAACCCACAGAAGACAAATAACAATGCCTGTGTGGGGTCATAGGTGAACAAACTACTGAAATATTCTATTTTGGAAAAGAGATTGAGGTAACAGGGAACAGAGAAAGAGTCAAAGAGGATGATTAAAGAAATAATCCATCTACAACTGTAGCAGGTGTGAGGCATACACAAAGATGCCAAATCCAGCAAGTCAGAGAGCACCCACCTACCCACTCAAATAAATACACAACCAAGAAAAGCTACCCACACTTCTGCATGCCAGCTTTCTATCTAATCTCAAAAAAGAGACCTGAAGAGAAGTGACACTTAATTTAACGCCAAGTAAAGGTTATAGATGAACCTTACACATAAACAAAATGGGCTTTCAGATATGTTAAAGATTCTACATAACTAATACAATAATGGAAGTATTGCACATCTCATTCACTTAGAGCAAGAAAAAATTAATCTGAGAAAGCTGCAGGAAAATAACAGTTTTTGAAGCATCCCAGGCCAGAAGAGGATCTCAGATGCTTCAGCAGCTCAGAAGCTATAAATGTCAAATGCAATCCTACTGCAAGAGCAACGCCCAAGAGCAAAACCTGTACCATGAGAGAATTCTCCTTTATGGAGCTTGTCTGCTTGGATGTTATTTACTATTATGAGGCAATCAAACCTGAACACATATTGCAGAGGGCACACACCTGAATGGCAGTTGCATCCGGCATACTGAGACGCCGTACAAATAACTGGCTCTGTCCGCTATGACTGGTGACGTAGCCCGAGCCCCATGTGCCACTGTGAGGCCGCCCCGTGTTGTAGAACATAAAAGTGTCACTTCCTGATGTAGCAGTCAGACATGTCTTGTAACAGTATGTTTTTGTCAAAGATCCGTTTCCCCGCACTTCAATATAATGCGGTTCCACTTTGAGGTCACGGCGCAGGGCCACATTGCTGTTTTGTTGCACTCCACCAACAACACCTCCTCCTGCACCTGCACCTGCAACTGCACCTGCACCTGCAGATGCAGCTGCAGCTCTTCCTCCACCGCCACCTGCTGAGGTGCCCCCCTCAGGCACACTCTTCTTGGACACACAACATGGGGAGCAGGAGCCAGGCTGGGTGCAGTAGGCATGGCAACGCACAATGGCCAACACGAAGATGGTGACCAGGAACACGAAGGTTGTGGCACAAAGAGCAATAATGAGGTAGAGGGTGACATTGGAAAACATGAGAGGGCTGTTGGGCCTGATGATGCGCTTGGGGTCAGGGACCAACTTCGGTGGGAGCTCCATCACGTGCACATGGATGGTGGCGGTGGAGGAGAGCGACGGGAGGCCGTTATCTCGCACCAGCACTGTCAATACAAAGGAGGTGGAGTTGTCCTCTATGACCCGCCTGGTGGTACGGATCTCACCTGTGTACTCATGCACCTTGAACAGGTCAAGGTCTGCATTGGTCGGGCCTAGGGAGTAGAGCAACCAAGCGTTCTGCCCAGCATCACCATCCCACGCTGTTACCTTACTAACCAACACTCCTGCTTCTGCATTTTTTAACAGTGTCTCTGTGGTGCGGCTCCCATTGGCAGGAGGGTAGACTATCCTGGGTGTATGGTCATTATGATCCATGATGTAAACATACACTGTGACAACACGGCTGAGGGGAGGCACACCATTGTCCTGGGCTTTAATCTGAAAGTGAAACTCTCTCAGCTTCTCAAAGTCAAAGGCTCGCAGAGCGTAGGCCTCACCTGTATTAGGTTTGATGCTGACGTAGCTGGCTACAGGGATACCATGGTTGTTGTCATTGAGGACAGTGTAGGTGATGCGGGCATTTTCTCCAGTGTCAGCGTCTGTGGCCTTGACAACACAGAGAGGTGCACTTGGGGCATTGTTCTCTGTAATATAAACAGTATATGAAGTTTGTTCAAAGCGAGGTGGGTTATCATTCACGTCTGCAACGTCCACCTTAAATGTCATATGAGAGGACAGAGGTGGAGTGCCTCCATCCACAGCGCTGACGGTGACATTGTAGGATGAGATGGTTTCCCGGTCCAGGAAGGCAGACGTGACGATGGTGTAGTGGTTCCGGAAGGACTTTATCCTAAAAGGCAAATTGGGCATGATCTCCAGGGTGACCTGTTTATTTAGCACAGAGTCTCGGTCGTTCACACTGATCAATGCTACCACTGTGTCAGCCCGAGCGTCCTCGCGTACAGGGCTGGAGAGTGAAGACAGCACAATCTCAGGAATGTTGTCATTTACATCCAAAACTTCTACAACTACTTTACAGTGCACTGCAACTGGTGATGGGCCCTTATCCATGGCCTGTATATACATTTCATATGAGTTTGTCTCCTCATAGTCTATATTATTTTTCACACGTATTTCTCCTGTGTCTGTGTCCATGGAGAACATCTGTCTGACTCTTTCTGGTGTGTAACTGCTAAAGGAGTAAAAAACTTCACCATTTGAGCCCTCATCAGGATCTGTTGCGTTTAACTTGATTACAAGTGCGCCCTTGGGAGAGTTTTCAGATAGTTTTATTTTATACACGGAGCTGTCAAACGCAGGCACGTTGTCATTGGCATCAAGGATGCGGACATTGATTTTGGCCGTACCAGTTCTCTGCGGGGTGCCTCCGTCCATAGCTGTCAGGATTAGCTGATGAGAGGGCATCTGCTCGCGGTCAAAGGGCTTTTTGAGAATCAGCTCGATGTGCTTATTATTAGAGAAGGGTTTAATGGTGTCTAGAGCGAGGTGGTCGTTTGGGCTGAGGCGGTACTGCTTCACAGAGTTGGAACCGTCATCTGCATCCTGAGCTCCCTCGATGTGGAACCTGGACCCGGTGAGAGCGGACTCAGACACCTCCAGCTGATATTCATCTCGAGGGAACTGGGGCGCGTTATCGTTCACGTCCACAATCTCCACCTCCACGTTGTGCACCTCCAGCGGGTTCTCCAAAACCACCTCCAAGTTGCGTGAACAGGTGCCTCCAAATTCACAAACTGTCTCTCGGTCGATGCGGTCACTCACCACCAGCTTTCCAGTCTTGTGATTGATGGTGAAATATCTGCGGCCACTGTCCGACGTGATTCTGATACGCCTGGTAGAAAGTTTATTCACGTCCAGACCCAAATCCCGTACAATGTCACCGACAAGTGCTCCATTCTCCAGCTCCTCTGGGATGGAGTATCGAAATTGTGCATTTGTAAGGCCACTGAGAAGGAAAAGAACAAAATAAAAGCAAAAAGGCACACTCTCCTTTACACTGTAACAGCATCGCGCCGTCACAGCCATCGCAGGAAGGCAGAATTTGGAGACGGGTTGGAGAAATCTTTCCGCCGTCTCAGCTTGCTGTACGTCCCCACCCGCCTCATTAAAAACGGGGAAATAGTCCGCGCAGAACTCCGGCTATGTGCAGGACGACCACCGCATCCTCTCCGGTGTCTGTTTAAAGACGTTTTTCTCCTGTGCATCCATGTTTGCCTCTGCTGTATTGTTGTTTTTAAATTTCTCTCTCCTCCAAGCAGAGCTGACTTTCACTGATGCTGCCTATTGGTCTCCCTCTCTCTCTCTCTCCTCCTGCGATGTGGTGATGGTGTATGTGGGCAAAAAAAAGGGGGGGGGGATTCGCTCAAACGTTGCTGACTGCATTTCAGCACCTCCGATGAAATGATCGAGCACCCTCATAAAAAAGCCCAAAAGACGATAAGACTCCGGAGTTTTATCAGTAAACGAATCTGAACGCCAAACATGAAGCAGTCAAAGTCATCTGCACGCTGATCTCGTTTCAATTAATTCGACACAATCGTCCCCCCTGTTTTTTTTTTTTTTTTTTTTTTGTCAGCGCCACCGCCCTTTTCATTGTGCGCTGGGAAACTGATTTATGAACCAGCCTGGAGATTAGATTTATACTCGCTGATGCAAATCAACGATTGCATCGGGACCCTCCAAACTGAGAGGCACATTTCGGATATATGGTATTACCACATTTTAGAAAACAGACAAACATATTCAACCAGCTGTGCAAAGATTTGTTTTCTCTCGAAAAGACTACTGTAAGCTTTGCTGCAGAAGCTCTCACAACAAGCCATGGGAATCAGAGAGAAGGACAGCTACGTTTTCAACAGCGGTGTTGAAAGCGTGTTATAGAGGAGATCCTGTGCCAGAGAAACAGGGGGGTGGGTCCGACTGTTCACCCTGTGTATGTTTATCTGTTTACGCGTTTGAAACAGAGAACCCGGAGAACCCTTAAAAATCTGCATGTTGTCTTCCCCTTCATTTTATAAACCTTCCCTCACGGTGTCAGTTAACGAGAAATGGGTGCTGCAGACAGAGCCCTTTGCGCCACAAGTTCATTCACACAGGGCACACAAAGCATGTGACGTCATGAGTGGAGACGACGCCTGCCTGGTCACAGACAAGATGCTCCAGATGTGACCCCTTTTTACATCTGGCAATAACACGACGCTGACCACACTAGCTAGACAGTAATAGTTATGTACGCAAAAATTAACCACAACACTATTTGCTTAAAAAACAAACAAAGAGTAATTATGTGGAAATGATTTTGGTCTTGAAATCCTTAATTTATAACTTGATATAGCATTAAAAAAAACAAAAAAAACAAGTTAACAGCTATCATGTATTCTGAAGTTTCAGTCTTATGTGACAAGATGAGAAACACACTGACGTTCACTTTTCGAAAGTAGATGTTTTGAATCTATAAGCTGCAGACAGACTCAACAATGCCTCCATATAGAGTAGCAGGTGGTGACATTAACCCCGAAATCATCCTGTTCTGGCTGTATTCCAATTACTCCAGTCTCAGATCCGATACCTTTACTTAATTTTAATTGGATTTGAGTAAATAGCATGTGACAAAATCCCCTACGCAGTACACAGTCAACAGGACAGATCTGCTCACACTGTTCAAAGGTATTTTACTCAATCTCAAGTTTATTGAAGAATAGATTCGGAAGAGACTCCAAGATCAGAAATGTAAAAAATCTCAGGAAAATGGAGGACGGACTCGTGAAACCCAGTGCCTTACGGATTGACCCTGGCCACTAGGCCAAAGCTGAGCGTCTATCGCCCACATAATCTTTTATCTGTCCTAGTGCGCTGCCCACACCCAGTCTGCCCACAGCGATGACTGCTCTCAGCCTCTTGGGAGACGAGGAGAAGACAGTGAATCACTCTTTTGCTGCTAGTGGATGGGGAGATATAGAGCAACTTTTCACACTGTAAGGCGAAGAGAAGGAGGTGGAGAAATGGGGAGATGGTGAAGCAGCCAAATGTCCATGAAGGAATACAAATTATTAGAACTAAAAAGCCTAAATGAATGTTAAAAAAAATGTACTTATGATTGGTTAATCTCTAACAGTATGATAATAATAGATGTTGCATGTTGAACTCTAAATTAAATCATGTGAGTCCAGATTTTTGCCATATTTGCAGTTCATCTGGAAAACATTTTCAAGGTTAACCCTGCATTATTATTCCCATGAGCAGTGGTGATAACAGAGAGTTTCTTTCAACCAGGGCTGACAGTCTCTGATGGTCTGCATATACTGGCTGCCACACTGACCATGACATTTAGCAGATTTACCCGCTGGGACGTGTGGCTCTCTGCGTTTGTCAATTCCACACAAATGAAAACAGGCAAGGTTTATCTCATCAGAAACAAACACAGAGCTGGATTTACACAAGACCTTTGCACCTGCTCCCCCACCAACTCCCACCCATCCACCCACCCAGCAGCACAACCAGCAGCACAGATATGAAAACATGTTTCATTGTTACAAAACTCAAACCTGTTTAACATATGCCCATCTGTTTCAGCGTTAATTGCATGTCGCTGAGCTGTGACTTGTTTATATTTTACTCAAGAGAGCTGCAGATAAAGCTATCATCAGTATTCCACCTGCAGACAGACGCCTGTCACACATCAACAAACACTAATTTAGAACAGCTAATTGGTTAATTGGTGTTTAAATTTGATTCAATTCAAAGGTTTTATTCCCATTAATGATTACATTTTTGTCAAAGCAGAAAATAATTACAGAAATCATACATGACCTTCACATTTGTTTTATTCTCAATGCCTTCTCCTCTATACAGTATTCTCTCTTTTCCCTAGCAGTCTCTCTCTTTGGAGTTTCTCAAGCTGCACCTCTGTCAGATAGCTGCTGTTCCAGCTGAGGGTTAGCTAAGGGGGATTTTGGAGGGTTACGTTACAAACACAAGTGTCCATGCATTTTGAACACTGAATGATCATAGACAAGTAAATGACTAAAAATTGAAAAAAACTGTAAAGTTTTCCTTGTGGTTAAGAGAGATAATGCTGATTTTGAATAAAGCTCAGACTCCCTCTTTGTTCTCATTTTCAGCCAGAACATTCTAACACTCCCCATCACATCAATTATGCAAGATGGCCACCATATTAATAACACCCTCTTTGCTAAGACTCAACCTCATTAATACTGTAAGCGGCCACTCAAAAAGCTATTCATATTACTTCCCCTAAGAGTCTGTTATCTGGAATCCCCCCCAATTTTTAATGAGTCAGATGACAGCAGAGATCCACAGAGGAACGGGTCAGGGCTGGGCTATCATAAAGCAGGATTCTTTATATTGCTGTCTCAGTCAACTACACAGACATACAGAGGCGGTCTGGTAAACTCAAAGACCTAATTTGTGCTGGAAGGCGTGCATGCACAATCTCACACACAGATAGACACACATGTACACACACAGTGCCAGTTTAAAAAACAAACGTAACAACATGAATAGTATCAGAGGACATAAATATTTTGTCTGAATGAATGTGAGAACATATTTTTCTGTAGTATTTTGCAATCAAGGACTTAGATACAGATGCACTGACTGCAGGGAAAAGGAACATGGCAATGCTGAAATTATACAAACACTGCTGGCAGGTAATCCTTATTATTGGTTTACTTTCAAGTATTTAGATAAATAGGGAAATATCATAACAACAGTAGTCTGAAACTACAGGCCCTTGGTTTGTCATAATGGTTATTTATCTTAGATTGCATTACAATGTTTAATGTACACACGCACACACACACACACACACACACACACACACAAACATATATATGGTATTCTAATTTCTCTTCATGCCAGTTCAAGGAGCAGAAGAACAAAGAAGACATAACTGTGTTCTGTCGTGTGGGTGGTCTGCATCATCTATGGTGTCAGGAAATGTGTTTACAGATTTATGAAATCAAAAACGATGCCCCAAAATGAAGCACATGATAGTCAGGCTTTTTCTTAGAGGAGTCAATGTTGCATTCAAAGGGGGTGTCTTTTAAAACTAAGTATTTTAAATATAATGGCCCTGGTTGGTGTGGTTGTGGGATTTTTTAAAATCTTTAATCAAAAAACATTGTTGTGGGTAAGAGGAACAATCTTAACATTCAGCAGCCAAACCTACTGTCATTAAACAAAGGCTTCATTCAGGTCTGCTCATGTTTTCCTTTGGTTATTTTTTAGGCATAAAAAAAAAACATGAACTATAACTGAAAATGAAAAAAGTTGCTTCAATCTAACCTTGGTAAAAAGGTTTTTTTTAATTTATTTTTTTAAAAAAAGGTTAAAGTGAGTGCTAGCAGCCCTACAATTTCAATCCCACTCTAGGGGTGGGAGAGGAAGGCAGAGGCTTCAGAGGTGGGACACATAGTGAAATTGGTCCCTCTGTTGGAATAAATCGGTAGTACAAGGGTTGGACACGTAATCCTTACCCCAACTGCCCATCCACACAGGCTTTCTCATTAAGCCAGAGCACTAAAGCATAATCCCTGCTATGAGTGTGCGTGTTACAGAGAGAGAGAGAGAGAGAGAGAGAGAGAGAGAGAGAGATAGAGAGAGAGATAGAGAGGGAGAGAGAGGTAGGTAGGATGGGAGAGAGAAAGAGAGAAGGAGGGCACAGACGTCAGACTGCAGTGGATGTCATTTTCTGTCTTGTTTTCAATAGTGACCGCAGTGGATAAAGAAAGAGAAGATAGGGCAAGGCACCCCCCTAGAGGTGAGATGACAAAGCACTATAAAGCAAACTAAGTGTGAAATCTACAGAATCACTGCTTGTAAACTCTACAAGAGCCAGTCATACGAGCATTTATCAAACCAATACCTAGACAATTTAACATTATTTAATACAAATAAACAATATGAGGGGAGATTCTAGAGCAAGATGTTGCAACCTAATCACTTTGTCTCATTTGCTAATGTTTAACTTGACTAAAAAAAGGAAATATGCAGAGAAATACAATTCTAAAATTGGTTCTAATACTAAGAAAATGCAGTGTACCTTCTTCTCATCCCACTTATATGCATGAGAATGTTCCCATTTTTAATCCCCAAAACAAAGCCCCATGGTAACGACAATCCTTTACTCAGGTGGACACAGTAAGCGGCTGGAGGCTGAATTTTCTGTGTACGTTTGTTAGTGCTGATCCCTTGTGTACCAATTGCTTTCAAAAAATAAAGGGCATGAGAGAATGTTAGCAGCAAAAATCCCTCCCTTGGGGTCCTTGTGAGGGTTAAACTGCTCCTTGGTTGTCCTGGTTCAGCCTCTGCATAAATCA